GTTTATAATGAGTTGCTAAATGACAAAATAAAGCCATTTGTAGTGGCTAGGTAAGGGCCCAGCTGAAGACCTTGGCTTTCAGATTGTTTTTCAGTGGTGCGATTGACATAAATGGAATGGAATTGTACTCTTCTAGAAGCCAGCAGGACAAATGAAAACAACTAGGATTATAACATGCATACATCCCAAATCATAACATTGTTAAGATTTATTGTATTAGGTGTATTTTCAAAAAAACTCATGTTTTCTTTGTTCCTTTGTGTATGTATTATGGCTTCCAAGTTAGCTTTTGTTTTCAGATTTGTTTAATTTAAATTAGAGACAAGCTTGTTTTACATGTCAATCACAGTTCTCTCTCCCTCTCATGCCTAACTCTTTATCCCATCCCCTTTCTGCTCCCCAGGGAGAGTGAGGCCTTCCATGGGGGATCTTGGAAGAGAAATTGGGAAGTACCCTTGAAGGGATTGGCACAGGAGACTGCTTCCTGAACATAATACTGTAGCACAGGCACTGAGATGGACAATTAATAAATGGGGACTTCCTGAAGCTAAGAAGCTTCTGTAAGGCAAAGAACACAGTCAGGAAGACAAAACGGCAGCCCACAAAATGGGAAAAGTTCTTTTCCAACCCCACATCTGGCAGAGGGCTGATTTCTAAAATATACAAAGAACTCAAGATGTTAGTCACCAAAATACCAAATAATCCAATTAAAAAGTGGGGGTACAGAACTAAATAGAGAATTCTCTATAGAGAACTCTAAAAGAAAATCTTTTTGTCAACATTAATGTTTAAAGTGCATTTCCAGAGTAGGACACACCTTATGCATGAAGCCAGTGAAAATTATCATCCAGGAACTATTCTCAGTGATCTATGTTCCATTATTTTTCTAGTGATCATCATCCCCCTCCCAAAGATTCCAAACCCATAGTCAAAGTTCAGGACAGCTAAAGTCTTAGTTGTCTTCGTGAGGGTATCTAAGGAAGAAGGACAGAGATCTGAAGTGCTGTTATTTCATTTGGAAGAGTATGGTGTCAGGGTTCTTAGAATAGCTTCAATATTTCCAGAGGGACAAGAGACACTTATAGAAGATACTTAATTCTCTGTGGTTTTATAATTATTTTTATATTAATCACCAAATGTTATCTGAAATCCTGGAACAGAGCCTAGTTGTGGCCAAATGTCCATGCTGATGGCTTAGAAAAATGTGGTAGGTAGAAGAGAGGACATTCTCCCTTGTGATGACTGATATAATCACCTCCCAAGGGACAATTCTAAAAATGGAAGTGTAGGAGGTGGGAACCACTCATCCAAAGCCACCAAGTAAAGAAAAAACAATTATGACTACTTTGTAAACCTAGTACAATTTGAAGAAAGAGATAGTTTTCTTGTTTGTTTCTGCAAACTTTATGCCAGTCTAGACTACATATGAGGACATATAGCTTGACCTGAATGTAGAATGCAGCAAGGAGAAGAGAATTCCCTGTATTGAAGAACAAAAGCCTGCAGCCCTAAACTTTGTACTGCACCCTTCATCTCTAGAAGTGGATTGAGTCAACTGCAGTGGGTTGACCTCAGTATGGCTGTTGAGCTCTTGTTTCTTTTACACGAGTGAGTGCTACTGCCTGCATTTACCTCAGGTTCTGAAGAACAAACAATTTTAAGAAGCAAATCTCTTCAGATTCTCTGGAAATTTTGAGACTACTTTCCAAATTAGGAGATAGAGCATGGTGGAATACTCAGAAGAAAATGAGGGGAGTCTTTGGGTGCAGCCAAATAAAGGCTAAAATCTCCCATGTCTTGTCTGGTTACAGAAGATGGCCGGTTCAGGCTCTGTATCCACAATGTCCAGTCCTGATATGAGGGTCTGGTATAGTCTTATTGTAACTTGTTATGCTGTGTTCAATTGACACCCCTTGGAGGCCTGCTTTTTTTCTAAAGGGAAATGAAGAAGGAGTGGATCTGGGGGCGAGGAGAGGTGGGGGTGGCTAAGTGGAGTGGAGGCAGGAAAATTGGGTGGGATGAGGGAAGAATAAACTTTTTTAAATCTCCTATAATTGATCCTCTGCTCTTCAATCTTCTGCAGCCTGTATAAATACTCAAAATTCTGGATATCATTAACACAGAGCTGCAGTACATGTCAACAAAGCCACATTAACTTTTAGGTACTCTTAGGAGTTACACAGATGAAGTTCAAACTTCCTGTGAAACACTTTTTAACTTTGCTTAACTGACATATAATTATATTTACTTTTGGAGTGCAGTCTGACATCTCACTCCATATAGCCAAAAGTGTGTACCATTTCCATCTCTACAACTTCTTTCTGTTATGATATTTTGAAGCTCTCTCTTCAAACATTTGGATATCTTTTGTTGCCTTCTATCACCCATTAACCTGGGTCATTCAATACCTTCTACATGGTTTACCAAACTTTTACCTTTCTTTCTGCTCTGTTCTGTAATTATGTAATCTCTCTATAGAGCCTATTTTATCCTATCATTTCCATGCTCAAGATCTGCGAATTATTTCTCATTTTTATTTTTGTTGTACCTTTTCAAAGACAACTCTATTTCACATACATTGAAACTGATCCTTTTAACATGTACAGTTCTGTGTTTCTTTTCTATTTTTCCATTACAGCTTTTTTTGTTTGTTTTTTGAGACAGGGTTTCTCTGTGGCTTTGGAAGCTGTTCTGGAACTAGCTCTTGTAGACCAGGCTGGCCTCGAACTCACAGAGATCCACCTGCCTCTGCCTCCCGAGTGCTGGGATTAAAGGCGTGAGCCACCAACGCCCGGCTCCATTACAGCTTTTATTAGTGTATATAAACTATGTAAATTAGAGATTTCATTGTGGTTATTTACAAGAATACATGTCATTTACTTTGTTCCTATTCTTCTTATTTTCTCCTTCTTCCTTCCCCCTCCGGGTTCTCGTTCTCTTTATTTATAGTCACCCCGCCTCCGCTGCTTTCATGTCTCATTTCCCATGTTCAAAAATGTTTAAAAATATTTATTCACCATTTCATGGATGGATTTTCAGGATATTTACATCAATTTACGTCATCGCCAAACCTTACAAGTGTTCCTTTACAATCAAGGCCATCTATCCATCTGACACATACCCCAACACTTAATCACCTACCCGATTTCCCTTCCTTTTTGTAAGGTAAATATAACTGGAATATAGATTACATATACATCTTTGTCAACTTTCACACAGCACAATGCTTTTGAGATTTACCAACTAATTTGATTGATTCATTATTAATACATTTTGACCGGATAGATATACCACAGTTTTATTATCCATTCATTAGTTAATGGAAATTTAGTGTTATCCTGCTTTGTTAGCCTTTTTGAGTAAAACTCCTATAATGATTTCTTTTGTTTGTAGTGAGAAGTTTTATTAAAAATGGAAAGGGGAAAGGAAAGAGAAAAGAGACACAGAGACATAGAGACAGAGAGATGACAGGTTCTTGGTCCCAGTAACAGTGCTAGAAGTGGATCACAGAATATGGAATGGGCCTTAAATCCAAACAGAATGTGTTTGGTTAGTCCCATGAAATTCATGCAACTATTGCATCTGTAAGCATATCTTGATAGGACGGTTGTTACCGTAGCTCACAGGGCTCAGAACTGGGTAAGACTGATGATTATGTTTATCCTCTGGTAGTATGCATAAAAACTCCCAGCACTATGAAAGATACTCAGTAGGGGTGGACTTTTTGGCTCAATACTAGCTTGGCTTTAAAAGAAGAGGACATGAAATTGGGTAGAGAGATAGGGATAGATCTGGGAGAATTTTTTAAGGGGTAAATATGATAAAACTTGACACATTGAATGGAATTTTTAAAGAATTATTAAAAACATTATTTTTGAAAATAACAAAAGAAGTAGAAAATAATTTTGAATTTAAAATGAAAATACTATAAAATGTGAAAACATTTAAAACATGCTCAGAGGAAAATTTACAAAATAGCCTTATAGTAGGAAAGAAAAAAACCTTTCAATTCAGTTATCTGAACTTCTAGCTTGAGAAAGGAGAGAAACAGAACCAAATAAGATTGCAAAGCCAAAAGAGATTCAGAAAGAGCATAGAACACAAGTCAACAGCAGAGAAAAAGTGATACAAATCAATAAAACAAATCCTGGTCCTGGAATCAGAACAATAACACTTATAAAATTCAATCCTGGGTTTTGGGTTGAGAAGAAACAACAGATGACAGGAGTCAGTAATGTTAGAATGGACAGAAGGAAATTATTTCAAACTGTAGAGTACTTTGAAAGACAATAAGGAATTATTTTCAATAATTCGTGCCAAAAAACTTGATCATTTTCATGAAACAGACAAATTATGAAATGATCATATCATGGATAATCTGTAAGTTCAATCAACCAACAACCTGAATAGTTCTATATCTACTACTTAAACTAAATTTATATCTTGAAACATCCAAGGAAATAGGAGCAACAACACTATCACTCACAAATTCTCCAGTACAAGTTTTTCCAAGCATTATTTGGAGGCAAAAATCACATCAACTATGAATGGTTTCCCCAAGAAATATAACCATAGGAATGACTGAACTATAGACTACTGAAGATGAGAGCGGGAGAGATGTTCTTCCTCAGTTGGTTGCCCAGTGCCACACAGTCATTCCGGAAAACATATGGAAAAGTAACATTATACAGACTGATCAGTTTATATTTAGGAATATACATATACACACATAAACATATGTATGTAAAAACAATTACTGAAAAAAGAGGTCATGAATTTGATTGAGTGGGGAGGGGAATATAGGAGAGTTTGGAGGGAGGAAAGCTAAAGGAGAAATGTTGAAATTATATTATAATCTCAAAAAACCACCACAAAATTAAGTATATATGAAAGTAAGTTCAATAACTGTCTGGGCAGATAATGCCATCATTGAAACAGTTGCTTTGCAAGAACTAGGGTCTGAGTTTTATCTCCAAAATACAAGTAAAAATGTGTGTGTGGTGCTCGCTTCAGCAGCACATATACTAAAATTGGAACGATACAGAGAAGATTAGCATGGCCCCTGCGCAAGGATGACACACAAAAATCTCTGAAAGCCAGAAGGTCCTGGATAGATATTCTACCTGCACTAAGAGACCATGGATGCCAGCCCAGACTACTATACCCGGCAAAGCTCTCAATCACTATAGACGGAGAAAACAAGATATTCCATGACAAAACTAGATTCAAGCAATATGTGTCCACTAACCCAGCCCTACAGAAAATTATGGAAGGAAAACTCCAACCCAAGGAAGCTAACGACAACCAGAAAAACATAAGCATTAGAGAATCCCTCTCTACCAACAGGCAAAAGAACAAAGGGGTGAAATTCCACACATAATTCCACCAACAACAACCATCGTAAATCGAAGAAGAATGAGCAATCATTGGTCATTAATATCCCTCAATGTTAATGGCCTTAACTCACCCATAAAAAGACAAAGACTGGCAGATTGGATTCGAAGACAGAACCCTTCCTTCTGCTGCATACAAGAAACACACCTCACCCTTAAAGACAGACATTACCTGAGAGTTAAAGGTTGGGAAACATTTTTTCAATCAAATGGACCCAAGAAACAAGCAGGGGTAGCAATCCTAATATCTAACAAACTAGACTTTAAAATAAAATCAATCAAAAGAGATGAAGGATGTCATTACATACTCATCACAGGTGAAACCCACCAAGATGAAGTGTCTATCCTGAACATCTATGCCCCAAATACAAAGGCATCCACATTCGTTAAAGAAACATTATTAGAACTTAAATCTCATCTAAAGCCCCACACAGTTAGAGTGGGGGATTTCAACACACCACTCTCACCACTAGACAGGAATACCAAACAAAAACTCAACAAAGAAGCAAAAGGTCTAATAGAAGTAATGACCCAACTGGGATTAACAGATATCTATAGAACATTTCATCCACATAAAAAAGAATATACCTTCTTCTCACCACCACATGGAACCTTCTCAAAAATCGACCACATACTTGGCAACATATCAAACCTCAGCAGCTACAAAAAAATTGGAATAACTCCATGCATCTTATCAGACCACCATGCTTTAAAATTAGAATTCAACAACAACACAAATTGCAGAAAAGCTACAAACTCATGGAAATTGAATAATGCTCAACTGCACCATCCCTGGGTCAAAGAGGAAATAAAAAAAGAAATTAAAGACTTCCTCGAATTCAATGAGAATGAAGACACAACATACCCAAACCTATGGGACACTTTGAAAGCAGAGCTACGGGGGAAGTTCATAGCGCTAAGTGCTCACATGAAGAAACAGGAGAACAGTTATACCAGAGAATTAACATCACAGCTGAAAGCTCTAGAACACAAAGAAGCACACTCCCCAGGAGGAGTAGACGCCAGGAAATAATCAAATTGAGGGCTGAAATCAATAAAGTAGAAACCAGGAAAACAATACAAAGAATCAATGCAACGAAGATTTGGTTCTTTGAGAAAATCAACAAGATAGACAAACCTTTGTCCAAACTTACCAAACAGCAGAGAGTGAACACGCAAATTAACAAAATTAGAAATGAAAAGGGGGACATAACAACAGACTCTGAGGAAATCCAGAGAATCATTAGGTCATACTTTGAAAACCTGTACTCCACAAAATTCGAAAATTTAAAGGAAATGGATGACTTCCTGGACAGCTATCAATTGCCAAAATTAAATCAAGAACAGATAAGCAATTTAAATAGACCTATAACCCCTATGGAAATAGAAGCTGTCATCAAAAGTCTCCCAACCAAAAAAAGCCCAGGTCCAGATGGCCTCACTGCGGAATTCTACCAGAAATTCAAAGAACAGCTTATACCAATTCTTCTCAAAGTGTTCCACACAATAGAAGCTGAAGGGTCTTTGCCAAACTCTTTCTATGAGGCTTCAATAACCTTGATCCCCAAGCCACACAAAGATACAACTAAGAAAGAGAACTTCAGACCAATATCCCTCATGAACATTGATGCAAAAATACTCAATAAAATACTAGCAAATCGGATCCAAGAACACATCAGAACAATCATTCACCACGATCAAGTAGGTTTCATCCCAGGGATGCAGGGATGGTTCAACATACAAAAATCCATCAACGTAATCCACCATATAAACAAGCTGAAAAACAAAAATCACATGATCATCTCACTAGATGCTGAAAAAGCCTTTGACAAAATCCAACACCCCTTCATGATAAAGGTCTTGGAGAGATCTGGGATAACAGGGACATACTTAAACATAATAAAAGCTATATACAGTAAACCAACAGCCAACATCAAACTAAATGGACAGAAACTCAACGCAATTCCTCTAAAATCAGGAACAAAACAAGGCTGTCCACTCTCTCCATACCTTTTCAACATGGTACTTGAAGTTCTAGCTATTGCCATACGACAACAAAGGGGGATCAAGGGGATACAAATTGGGAAGGAAGAGGTCAAACTTTCACTGTTTGCAGACGATATGATAGTTTACATCAATGACCCAAAGAACTCTACCAGGGAACTCTTACAGCTGATTAACACCTTCAGCAAAGTGGCAGGCTACAAGATCAACTCAAGAAATCAGTAGCCCTACTATATACAGATGATAAAAAGGCTGAAAGTGAAATCAGAGAAACATCACCCTTTACAATTGCCACGAACAACATAAAATACCTTGGGGTAACGCTAACCAAACAAGTGAAAGACCTGAATCGTAAGAACTTTGAATCTTTAAAGAAAGAAATTAAAGAAGCCCTCAGAAAATGGAAAGATCTCCCATGCTCTTGGATAGGTAGGATCAATGTAGTAAAAATGGCAATCCTGCCAAAAGCAATCTACAGATTCAATGCAATCCCCATTAAAATCCCAGCACAATTCTTCACAGACCTTGAAAGAACAATAATCAATTTTGTATGGAAAAACAAAAGACCCAGGATAGCCAAAACAACCCTGTTCAACAAGGCAACGTCCGGAGGCATCACCATCCCTGACCTCAAGCTCTATTATAGAGCTATAGTCCTGAAAACAGCTTGGTATTGGCACAAAAATAGACAGGTAGACCAATGGAATCGAATTGAAAACCCGGGTATTAACCCACACACGTACGAACATCTGATCTTTGACAAAGAAGCTAAAAATATACAATGGAATAAAGAAAGCATCTTCAACAAATGGTGCTGGCATAACTGGAGACTGGCATGTAGAAGAATGCGGATCGATCCATGTTTATCGCCATGCACAAAACTTAAGTCCAAACGGATAAAAGACCTCAACATAAATCCAGCCACACTGAACTCTTAGAAGAGAAAGTAGGTGGTACCCTTGAACGAATTGGTACAGGAGACAGCTTCCTGAACATAACACCAGTAGCACAGACAGTAAGATCAACAATTAATAAATGGGACCTACTGAAACTGAGAAGCTTCTGTAAGGCAAAGGACACAGTCAGCAAGACAAAAAGGCAGCCCACAGAATGGGAAAAATATTCACTAATCCCACATCTGACAGAGGGTTGATCTCCAAAATTTACAAAGAACTCAAGAAGCAAGTCTCCAAAACACCAAAGGACCCTATTAAAAAGTGGGCTGTAGAACTAAATAGAGAGTTTTCAATAGAGGAGTCTAAAATGGCTGAGAGGCACTTGAGAAAGTGCTCAACATCCTTAGCCATCTGGGAAATGCAAATCAAAACAACTCTCAGATACCATCTCACTCCTGTCAGAATGGCTAAAATCAAAAACACCAATGACAATTTATGCTGGAGAGGATGTGGTGAAAGGGGGACACTCCTCCATTGCTGGTGGGAGTGCCAACTGGTTCAGCCACTTTGGAAATCAGTATGGAGATTCCTCAGAAAAATGGGAATCAGTCTACCACAAGACCCAGCAACTCCACTCTTAGGCATATATCCAAAAGATGCCCATTCATACAACAAAGATGTCTGTTCCACTATGTTCATAGAAGCTTTATTTGTAATTGCCAGAACTTGGAAGCAACCTAGATGTCCCTCACCTGAAGAGTGGATAGAGAAAATGTGGTACATCTACATAATGGAGTACTATTCAGCAGAAAAAAATAATGGAATCATGAGATTCGCAGGCAAATGGATGACACTAGAAGAAACCATCCTGAGTGAGTTAACCCAGTCACAAAAAGAAACATGGCATGTACTCTCTCATATATGGATTTTAGACATAGATCTGGGGAGTGCCAGCCTTCAATCCTATGGCCAGAGGGTCTCGGAAACAGAATCTTTATTTAGTGGCTGATCAAAGAAGAGGCAGACTCCCTTGGTTAAGTACTGTGCTGAACTCAAGAAAGCCAGTAACAGAGAGGGAGGACTGATGATCAAAGGGATTAAGACTGGGCTGGTTTAACCCCCAGAAACAGCTGACCAGACAAAGGTTAACTCTTGAATCCCAGGCATCAGCCTGGGAAGCCAGCATGGGACTGATCAAGACCCCCTGAATCTGGGTGTCAGTGAGGAGGCCTAGGGAATCTATTGAGCCTTGGGCCGCAGATCAGTACCCATCCCAAGTATACACATGGACTTTGGACTCCCATAGAACAATGTGAGGTGCACTCTCACCCGAACTCTTGGGGAAGGGTCTAGGCCCTGCCCTATATGAAATGACAGACTATGCACACCCCCATGGAGGGCCTCACCCTCCCTGGGGAAATGAGGGGATAACGGGGGGGGGGGAGGGCTCGGGAGGAAGGGAGGGAATGGGAGAGAGACCTGGAACTGACTTGTGAAGCAACCTTGTTTCTTATCCAAATTTAAACTGGAAAATAAAATTTAAAAAAAACACAGTCTGAAGGAATGCTGGAATTAAAAAACTGGGCATGCTCTTGGATTGGTAGGATCAACATAATAAAAATGGCAATCTTGCCAAAAGCAGTCTACAGATTCAATGCAATCCCTATCAAAATTCCACGGCAATTCTTCACAGACCTGGAAAGAACAATAATCAACTTTATATGGAAAAACAAAAGGCCCAGGATAGGGAAAACTACCATATACAATAATGGAACTTCAGGATGCATCACCATACCTGATTTCAAGCTCTATTATA